AGTCAAGTGATAATAGCCTCTCATATAGCTGGTTATATAGTCCAGTTTTACCATGAATATTCAAATAATTGAATGAACACTTTTTAACTTTACTATAACATGTATAACAATGAATTAACAGCATGTCTCAGAATTTATGCATCAGTAATTTTTTTGTTTGTTTTTTTCCAGGTAGATGTACTGAAACCATGGTTTACCATCATGGTTCCTGTTCTGAGAAAACATCAGAATAAACATGCACAATTATATTTAAGCATTTATAGAGATATGAATTCTGAGACAACCTGTATATTACAATCCATCATAATTATAAAATTCAATTCTCAAGAAATATTTGTTTCTTGAACAAGCTTCTATCCTGGTAAGGTTTATTTTATCTACCATTAAAAATAAACCAAACAAAAATAACTCCAATAAAGTATACTGGGATAATTAAAAAAATAAAAATATTTGGAAAAAGTTATAGCAACAATATTTTGCACTTCTTAAATAAAAAAGGTACAAACATGAATAATGCATTATTTTGTGATATTCAGTGCAATAGCAGTAGCATCCAACAGAGAACATTGAGAGTTCCTGATATAAGAAGCTTGTTTCTAGTATTCAATGATACATGTTAGGATGTTCAGAAATTCAGTATTATGTCAGTACCACAATGTTGTGAAAAAATACATTAGTAAACAAAAGGTAGGTTGTAACCAAGATTCAAAACTATCATAACCATAGAACCATATCCTATTATTTTATATGCTATGAAAATATTCACAATTGTTTCTTATGATTAAAACTTAAAGTAGTGTGATATACTTTGAAATAACTCCCTTTAAATAATTGATAAAAGTAATTTAAAGTAATGGATTACAATTATCTAAATATTTTGGGATGCTTTTTACTAAATTGATCTGAAGCAGTCAAAATTATGAAAATATTTCAAACAGCTTAATTACATACTAAATCTTAAAGTTAATTTTTTTGCTTGTGTTATCTTAACATAGATGAATTGAAGCTTTCTAGAAAATGCTATCTCTGCGTGACTCATTTTTATATAATTCATGCATTTTTAAGTTTGAACAGTGAGTGATGGATCGAGTTCTCCAAGTTTTACCGCTTTGTAAATCAGTGTCAAACTTTCAAGTTTTCAAAATGAAAATTAAAAACATTTAAAACAAGAAATAATGAATGAAATAACTGAAATATATCTGAGAAAAGAAAATTTCTTAAGATCAGTAATATTCATCACCATAACTTATTTCAAGTTAAAATTAACTGATGTGCAATAATAATCACAAACCATTCTTACTAAAATCAAGATTTTTACATAGGCTCACACGAGCATTTAATATTTCTTATTGGATGAATTCTAATTCTGACTGGATTATTCTTAATCTGTAGAAAAATAACTTTTGCTATAATGCAGTGCTGAATATTTTATCTGAATTGGCAATACAACAATGTGCTTTTTTTTCTTATCAACAGAAATCAACACTTACTACTATACTTACAAAATACAAACGATCAACAAATAGCAAGCAAGAACCAGAACAACTAAAATCGTACCACGTATGCAAATTCCCACACCAAATAAGACAGTCACTAAAATATACATTTCGTATACATATATATGTATATATACATATATACAAATATATGTATATATATATATGCTGCATATATGTATATATATTTATATATATATATATATATATATTTATATATAAAGAACTATTTTATATTTTGTTTTCATTCAGAAATCACTAAACAACTCTTGCTGAAGCATGATCATATACAACTCAATGGAAATTAATGTTGCCTTTAATTTTTTACTATCTTTTTCAGAAACATCAAAACATCTTTCTTGTCAATATTGAATAACAATATGGCAACATGGTGCATGTCTCTCTTGCACTTTCCTTCAGATTTGCTTGATTCTAGTTTCATCAAAATTTGTAGTCACACAATGTCATGGTTGATTTTTAGCCCATCTTTAAGATAATGGAATGTTAAAAGAAAGTGATTTGTCATCCTCTTGGTTGCAAACCTCCCAACTAGACTTGATATATCAGTTGAAATTCAGTAAAGTAGTGAATTACTCATTTTTGAAAGAGTTTAAGTCTTTCTTAACATACTGGCAAGCTCCAAGATTCATTCACAAAGTTCATTTTACAAACACCTACAAAATCATTAATTTATGAATTCTTTTCTCTAGTTTTGGACAATGCTGCTTAATGACATATAATTTTAAATCAAGCATGCTTTTTACATTAGGTCAGCACCACACAGGGAATTTTTGAGGAATCCATAAAAAACACAAACATATAGACTTCCTCTAAAAAAAGTACATTTTGGTGCTTAATCCTTTATATTCCTTTTCCTACAAAAAGACAGGACCTGCCAGTTTTACCACATCAGTCCTACTTCTTTGCTTTACACGATGTCATTACTTGAGTGTGACAGTTGAAGGAGCGTCTTGTCGCCACCCATGCTGCAAATACATCCCTAAATGTACATAAAAAAATAACATTTTATGGAAATTGTAGCGAATTCTAACTAAGTTAAATAAGAAAAATTAAATACACCTTTTTAAAGCATAAATTAACTGTTTTACTTAATAATATATACAGTTGCAGACATGCACTTGAAATTTATAATATTCTTTTTTTAAAACATAAAATTAGGGAACAGATAAATTTATGTCTGTTTTTCAAGTGGGAAATATTTTTTATTCATAATATTAGAAACTTCATGTACCTAATTGACTTTATCTAAGTCTAGGTAAAACACAATAGGCTCATGAATAATTTACATTTTATAATACATAACTAATTGAGAACCAATAGTTACGAAAATCAAGATTCTAAACTTTTTTCATAATTTGAGCAACATGCAAGTTCTAGATATTAATGTATTCATCACATTTTAAAACCCTGATAAATTTGTATGTTCACGTGAGTTATATTATGCATGGTATCTTAAAGTACCATATTTTTCAGTGTATAAGATGCACTTTTTTTACCCCAAAATTTGATGTCAAAATCTGCTTGCGTCCTATACACCGAAGGTATGAATAATATATATGTATATATAGGACATACACAAGCCATGTGTAAATATATTTAAATAGGCATTCATAGTTTAGTTCAATTGAATGTAGTTTTTTT